AACCACAATACGCAAAAATGTAAAATGTTCCCCAACAAAAACTGTGAAATTCCCTGGAAAAAACACAAAACAAATACAGTGGTGATAGATTCCCTTTAAAACCCACAGGGGGAAACAAACACTATTCTTAAGCAAATGGACGCTTGCTGGTGCTCAGTAGGGAATGACCGTTCCGGGGTTTTGGGACATTCTCCTGGGGATTCCGTACTCTACCGGCTGAGGCCGTGAAGCATCGGCCTTGAAAACCTCCCGGAAAGGGGTTCATGAGTACCTTGTAAATTCGGTTCCCTTTGGTTTAGTTTTGACCCACACCCTGCTGACCAGCAAGTTGTTCGGGGAGGAATGGGAACGTTACCCCCGGTAGCGGACCCTGCGTGGACTCCAGAAGTGCATAGCGATGCTGGCAGACTATGCTCCGTAAGGCTCCTGGGGCTTGGTACACAGAACCTGGGGGTCCTCTGCAAAACCCATCAGGAGCCTTTGGGCTCCTTGAAGAGGAGCCGGTAGGTCTACATGGGTATGGGTCAAAATCAAACCACCAGGGGACCACAGGTTTTAGTCCTTGGTTCCTTTTGCCAGGGTTCCAATTTGGGCACCTATTTTTGACACAGCCACATGATTGATTCGGCGACACAGCCGCACCTGCAGGCCACATCCGCAAGGCGTCTGCACCGGAAAATGGAATGCACACCCGGGTTGATCCAAAGGCCCAGGCCGAAGCCGAGACCAACGGTGCCTGAACGGAACAAACAACCAGGGGACTGAACAACAAGTGCAAAAAATGAAAAACAAACAAAAAATGGAGAAAAAAAGAAAACAACGAGGCTGTGGGTCAAAATTAAACCACCAGGAATCGGACCGCAGGTTTTAGTCCTTGTTTCTATTTACTAGGGCAAGTCATTTGGGGTTTTGACCCACACCCAAATGGTGCCTCAAGGGGGACCAAAGGAAACAATCAAGTGTGCCCAATATTCTGCCCTCGGCAGATGATGGTCACAAAGCATCAACACACATGTCATATGGGTTGAAAAAACCACCCCGTGGACAACCCTTGTATCCTTATGCCCTAGTATCGGTCAGTATCGGGCTTTTTTCCTCTGCATCGGTTTGCAGTGTTTTGGCAGCTCTATCTCGAAAGTCGTGACTTTTCCGTACAAGTGTAGTATGCGAAGTACACTCTGCCAGCTCCCAGCTCCAGCTCAACTTTTCAGTACAAGTGTAGTACGCAAAGTACATTTTGGCAGCTCCAGCTGGAAAGTCGCAACTTTTCAGTAGTATGCGCAGTAGATTCGGCGTGGCGGCCACTGAGTTGGGTATCGGTTGGGTATCGGTTTGGGTATCGGTTTGGGCCCTGCAAATTTATGATATTTTTCTTGGCTTGCGACAACAACTTGGACCTGATGTGTGTCTTCATGGCTTCTGGGGGTATCGGTTTTTCTTCCTCTGTATCGGTTTACAATGGTTTTGGCCTGCGAAACAAGTTAAGGGACGGCCCCTTACATAGCGAAAAGGCGCGGGGTATTTTTGTTCAGTCCATATGGCTGTGGCTCGAAACAACATGTACCAAAATGGGCACCTTGGTAAATGGAACCAAAGACGAGAAAAACCGTAACCCTTCGATTTTGAGCCACACCCACATCAGTGGCACCTGGGGAATCCTACACAGCGCCATGCCAGCAAGACCCTTCTCGGTATCCGGTCTTCATGTTGTAGATCTCAGCAACAAAAAAGCATCGCGGAGGACTGAAAGGGCCCGGGCGGGAAACGGGGAAACTGACTATGAAAACCTGTTTTTTTTCTTTTCCGGAGCCCAAACTGGTTTGGGACGTCCCGGCGAAGGGAAACGGCGAAATAAACAGGAAGGGCCCGGTTTTCGGGTTGGAACTGTTGGACGTGGCCGTGACCTGCCATTCTGGGCCAACAAGAACGGTTGGGTGGTTGAGAAAAAAAAGAGAGTTCCCAACTGAAGTTGTTCTGAAGCCACGCAGGGGAATTTGCGGCAGGAGTGCCAAATCATTCACCAGTAGACATCCGAATTCTCAGGCATGACAGGCTGATCTCTCCTGAAACCTTGCCAGCCTACCTCAACTCCGGAAAAGCTGGTAAATTGCCAATCCAACTTTGATGTCCCTGGACAATGAAAATCCACTTGGGGTACTTAGCTTGGTCCCACCTATTTCCACCAAATAGTTCTTCAGTCCAAAAATGCGTTTCCAACTAGCCATAAAGCTTCGCAACCCTCAACAAGAAGGTGTTCAGATCCCAATCCAAGCTGCTAGTTCATGCTTCCCGGACATAGCCATAACCTCCATTTGCTCCATCGCCCTGAACAACTAAAAAAAATGTCCAATAACGATAGATTTCAATTGAAACCAGCAGGGGAAGATAAGATACCAAGCAACTGGAAGCTTGCTGGTGCAAGGGGTAGGAAATGACTGAGTCTGGGTGTTCGGAATGAACCTGAAGCTTCCCTTAAAGGAAACCACCAGTTGGATGCTTCGGTCTTTTCCTCCCTTGGTTCCAAAGCCATGGCCAAGCCGGTTTCTGCGCTTTCCGAGGGCAGCGGCCGGAGTCATCACGGATTTCCCCGCGACCAAGGCCTCAAGCCGCAAATTTTCTTCCGCGCCGCAAAAAGACGCGGCGTTCCGAAGGTGTTTCCTCCAGCCCGCCGAAGACCTGCGACGCCCCCCATTGCGCGGTATGTCCCCGACAGCAACTCGGGTGCGGTGTGAGCCCTATCTGCCAGGCCCAGGAGCCTCAGTCTTGGTAACATCGGGCCTGGTAGGAACCAAACTGATCCAAACCAAAGTCACCTAGAAAGGACACATTGACATTTGCGCAGAACTCTGTGCTCCAACATGGGGGCGGATCCTGTCTTGTCCTAATCCGAAATCCGCGCAGCGCAGGAAATGAAGCCACTCCCATATTCCTTGCACCCACTGGCCTAGTCTGCATGGGACATGCATCCTGCCCTCAATATGACATGCTGCCGCGTCTTGAAGTGTGAGCTGAAGGACGATCAAACCAAGGGCATGGCGTTGAGGTGCTCGCAGATCAGCCTTGGATGTGTGCGACAAATGCAAACATAGCCAGGTTTAACATGTGGGAGTTGACACAAGTTGGGAAAAATACCCATGGTGATTTGGGGGTCAGGAATATTGATCAACCCCCATGTGCAGATTTTGGTCTGCACATCACTCAATCCAGACATGTACCAGGCGACCATTCACCACTGACGAAGCTGTCAGGATTCCCTGCTGCATTTTCCCATTCATCACCGCACCAAAAGGGAACCTGACTCCAAATGGCCCCTTCAAAGGTGATGCTTACCACTGCCAATGAATGATGTTTCTTTGCAGTGCAAACCAATCAACCAGTGTTGCTTTGCTGATGACAGTAGGCCCCTCAAGTCGACACAGGGAAGCAAGCACACCCGAAGCACCCACACAGCAAAGACTCACTTCAGGCACTAAGTCTCACAGCGACATATATAGCGACTCCGGGACGCCAGGGATTGCTCAAATGTTGAGCGAGCTGTTGGCCACACCCGAGCACTTGAGGCTCGCTTCTTTTTTGGAGGGGGGAAGCCTTTCTTGGTGCCTAGTTGCGGAAACCATGAGGACATGAGGACATCCATCATTTCTTGGGTTCCCTGACAAGACCAACCCTTTTTTCAACCCTAAGCTTTCATTTGCTTCAACCCTGGTGCCTTCTTCTGTTGACGAACTCCGATCCGCTCATGGGCAGTTAGGGGCACCTGTTGAAACATCCTCCTGCGGTTCCCCACTTTTAAGCTGTCAGCCCGCTTCCAGGCGCTTTCGCCACAAGGAAAGCAACCCTTCGGGTTTCTTACCTCTCGGTTTTTACATTCTGGTTTCCCCTGGTCACCCTCACCTCCTGAGTGGACCGGTCAACAAAAAGTCCAAACTTTTTCCTTACCACTAAAACGATCTCCCCAAACAGTTCTTAAAGTCCAAGAACTCGAAAGGTGAGTTTGCCATGGCGAACCGCCACAAAGTACCACATTCTTCTTGCCACCAGGAACAAGCTGCTTGCGGTGGAAGCCGCTCGACGTCCATGGACTCAATGTGGTCGTAATCCACGTCTGATCGCTGCTTCCGCTCCTGGAACTCGGCTCGAAGCGGATCGAGTCTTCCCCCCCAAAAAACAACGACAGCAACAACAATGCAAAAGGTTGCTGCTCACTCCCCAAAAGGTTGACAACTTTCTGCTTAGTGGAAAACCCCGGGATTTCAACCAAAAAGCTAAAGTCGAAAGATCCTCAACCATAGGTGTCCTTTCAGGGGAAATAGATGGGCTTCCCTGGTAGATGATGAAAACCACCAGGTAAACCAGGAATCGCCATCAATTTTTCGAGCAAAACAACCAAAAAGGAGACCTATGACAACAACAATGGAAAACCCCCAGAGAGGGGTGTCCCGAAAAGACGCTTTTTCCCGAGCAAGCGCCGCCTTTGTTTTTCGTTGGCTCTATTGGCAGTGAGTCATTGGATTGGTGCTAAGCCAAGAGCCTTTCCCCGGCTGCACGCTATGGGCCACTCATGAAACCTAACATCGTCCTTTGGGAAGCCCAGGTGGGCTATGGTTTACACATGTGCAGCACAAACATCCCCGCACTTTTCCGGTGCGCGCCCTTATTGCTCGCTTTTCGCCATGTGTTCTCCCAGAGAAGGGACAGCACAATCGTCTGGCAGGATGGTTTGATGATTGAAAAGCGTTAGAGAAAGCAAAACAGGTGGTTTTCCTCGGGTTCCACTTTAACCCCGCCCTGTTCAGGGCGAGGCGCCCGCCAGTGAAATGTGTGGAACATGTTGACGGAGACTTCAAATTGAAACAAGCGACCCCAGACATGGGGGCGAATGCTAGCCCGGATTCAATCTGCGGAATCTTGAAAATTACACCGACAATTGAAAGGTCAAGCCAAAGATGGTCCCGGCCGCACGCAAAGGCTGGTCTTGTTGGAAAGCCATAGGCTGAGGCTCACTGCGACAGCCCCTTCGCCTTGCACTCAGTTCGTTTGGCTTGGCTGAGTCGGTAGGCACGAGTCCAAAACCACGCGAGGTGAAGGGCTCCCCAAATGAGGTTGACGGAAGCCCAGCGGTGGCGAGCCTGGTCTTCATCCTTCGGTGTTAGCTGAAACCAGTCTGATACACCAGTGCACTGAGTCGGACAAACATTGACCACACCACCAATGACGTACCACAACCATAAGCTGAAGCCGCGTGCCTGAAGCCAGTGCGAGTTCACCCAGGCATTCTGCTCCGTGCCGCTGCATTGCTGTACGCAAAGTATCCGCTGGCTCTCCAAGAGCGGTACCAACAGAACTGCCAAAGTCCAGTGGTTCATCATCATGTTTTCATACATAAAGCAAGCATTCCAGGATGTGTACAACCAAATCCAAGATACAGGGAGCCGGCAGCAAAAATCGCCAATGCTGTGTCCGCCTTGTCTCTGCAGCACGTACCAGTCTGAAACCCGGGCCTGTAAGTCCTCATTGGATAAGTCCAGGCCCTGAAGGTCTGCCTGTGCTGCCATATCATACTTTCGGATCAGGTCTATGGGATATGGGAACAGGCCAGCTACCGGCAAGGGCATACTTGCTATAAGGCAAAGGCCCCCAAGGGCGTTCAAGGTGTGCTGACACGCCAAGTCCACTCCAGTATGTTCAAAGCTAGCCCCAGGTAAAGCACCACATACCTTCATTGCTTCGAGCTTGGTTTGGAAATAGATCCTGTCGGATACTAATCAACAAAACCACACGTACAAAATGAGGGGCCACAGTTGCGTCACATAAGAAAATGATGAAGGACTGTGCCGAGGCACGGCCAGTTACGATCTTTAAGATGGCGGGCGCAGAAACCATAGACCAAGCCATTCAAAGGCCATGCATCTTCTTCTGAAGCACAGGCCATGCACAAGACCGTCACCAACTCCATATAGACTGCAACGCTGCAAGCCTTCACTAAGGTAAACACGCGTTCCTCGTCATTGGCTGCTAAGAATTTCGGAAGGCTCGCCAGTCCGAGCGGGATAAAGACAAGGAAGATGGACTTCCAGGAACGGAAGAGACTATGTGCAAGCATGAAAGCCAGCATCAAGAGGAGGCTCTGAACCAAAGGACTCTGGAACAACGCTTCTTCACGGGCATCGCCCGAGTGTGCGCTTTTCTTGGCAGGCTGGTGTACCGGCGAGTGGCTGGAGTCTGAATTCGGTTGCATGGCTGTGTGCTGCACCAAAGCCAGCGGCTGCAGGTCTTCCGAAAGGTCTCTGCAAAGAGCTTCATGGACATTGCCAGCTCCACACAAGCCAGGTGACAGAATCAGCCACTGCCATACTCTCATGACCGCAGAGGGTGCAGTCAGAGTGTTGAGCTGTGGACTCGGTTCAGTAGCCTTGAGGCGAAAATCATTTTCTGCGGCGGGCATTGTACATTTTGGACCAAAGGCAGACCATTCAAGTGACACCATTGCACTGCCTGCTGGACCGGCTGAACAAGCCAGGCAAAGAAAACGCCAACAGCCAACAACCAACAACCAACAACCAACAAACAACAAACAACAACCGACAGCCACAACCAACCGCCAAGGTTGTCTTTCTGTGGGTGCACCCACTCTCCCGCAATGGTTTTCCTCTTGGCATCTCCTACTGCGAAAGGGTTTGAAACAGAGTTTCGGGATGGATAAAACAGGCCCTAACCCACCAACAAGAAGAGACCACCTTATCCCCCCCGGTCCCAAGGGCAAAGCGGTTGCCCTCGGCCGGCACTAACACGAACCAAAAGGGGTGCCTCGTTGTAACAAGAAGAAACCAAGCAGAAGCGCAGCACAGCGCAGAGCAGGCAGGCAAACCAGTAGCAAGCAGCACCAAGCGAGCAAAGCAAGCAATAGCAGCGCACCTCAAACAATAGCCCGACCCACCTCCAGGACAAAGAACACCGCCCCAGGCACAACGGCCGCGTAAACACGAGGCCGGTGTGAAGGTGCGCCGTGATCTTTTCCCGACGAAATGGCGAGCAATGAATGCCAGGTGAAAAGCTTGAGCCAAAAGCCGCGTTGGGCTTCGGCATGAAACATGCTATGATAGAAGTACATGCCCCCAAAAACACCCCCCTCGCCTGTACAAAGAGAAGGAGTGAATTTGGAAGGGCGCATTGGCCATGTTGAAGTTGAAAAGCAAATAAAAAGAAAACAGAGCCGATTAGGCTACCAGGGTTCGCGGCCCCATACCCGGGCACTCATTGGTGCCCGGATCCCGCCACCACCCCGAATTACGGGTATGGGGCGGATTCGCGCCGGTAGCCAAATCAAACAAGAGAAAGCAAAAAGAAACAGAAACAAAGATTCAACTCCAGAATGGCAGGCATGAAATAAAATTACATTTGCAATGCAACCACAACGAACCGCAAGGTTCAAGTGGATTTAGTTCCTGAATTCATGATTTAGGCGCATTGGCCTACTGGTTGAAACATGGTGCTTTGACCACAAGACCTTGGTCTTTAAAGTAGCACCGTCTAGGCGCGCGATCACACAAAGACCTTCAGTAGGAACACCACCAGCTGCAATCAGCGGTTCAGGTCCGAGTAGGACTTCACCGGCAGCGGTGCAGCGCATCCGTGATCCTCACCGCAGCACCTTGATGAGTTCCATCTCCAGCAGCAGCAGCGGTGCTGGACGATGCTGACAACCAGCGGCCGTAGACACCGGCGAGGGTAACTGCCTTGCTGCGGCGACGCACACCTGACAGGTAATCGCTGCCAGCGCGAATAGCGCACAGCTGCGCATGCAGTTGAATTCTGGAATGGCGAATAGCCCAAACATAGAAATACTACAGGGAGCATTGTCCATTATGTGAATTCCGGAATGAAAGCACGCGCGCGTTGGCGCCGCTACGCAAAAGATGCAGACGGACACCAGGTATTACCGATGTCGTCCGCCGCCGTGCCGTCCCCTCCCCTTGTTGACGTTCCAGTCCCCAGGAGGAGGAGGCACGGTCTCGGCCAACTCATCATCCGCACCCCAGGTAGGGGTATGCGGCGAGTTCGGATTCTCGAACTCGCGTGGATCACCCTGCATGTGCGGCTGCCAACCCTGCTGCATTGCGCCAGGCCACATTTGCGGCATCATGCCAGCCATTGGCTGTTGCATGTACCCTCCCATTGGGAAAGCGGGGTACATCGGACTTGGGAACGGGAAAGGGGCTGCCTGAGCACCCTTGTATCCCGACCCGCGAGCATCAGGCTGATACCCGCCAGTGGGAGTTCTCGATCTGGCGGATCCGCCACGACCGAACTGCCCTTGTTGGTAGCCGTATTGGCCACCCTTGCCTTTGTACTGATCACCTTTGTGACCCTTTCCTGGGAACTGGTCACCCTTGTGACCTCCGCCCTTGGGCCAGGATTGTGCAGGGGCTTTGCCCTTTTGCTGATCACCCTTTGACCTGGATTCAGGTCGCGGGGTAGCAGACCGTTGGTCTCCCCTAGGAGTGGCTGCCCGCCTGTGGTGCTTCCCAACCGGCGGGTCAGCAAAGACAATGGCGCATTGGCCGTCGCGCCGCGAAGCGGGGACCATGTCAACCTTATTGTCTTCGACATAAATGTATGCCTCAGCATACTCAATTGGGGCCGTGATGGATCCACCACTGGCCCGCAAAGAGTCGATATTCCAATCAAGAACAGTGGAAGCGTCGAAACTCGGATCTTCAGTATTGAAGTCCGTGAGGCGTCGCTCAGCCTGTACCAACGACATTATGATGTCCGCGCGTGAGGCGCCTAGGCCATACAGCGGAACCAAATACCCGTCCTCAATCCCGATGCGGTAGGCATCAAAGATATGCACAGAGAGGTAAAGGGCAAATGCTGAATTTAGACTGCCCTTTCTCGTCATATGACGACCCCATTGCGCCGCCTGTTGCGGGTGCTCGATTAAATATGCCATGACAGACATATTGTCGGGAATCGAGACGCCAGTGTTGCTCTCCTCGATGAGCAGCTGCTTCGCTACCCACCGCTCGAGAGCCTCATCACTCGCCCGCACACAAGCGTGAGTGTCCTTTGAGGTGACCTTTGCAACCTCCTGAAACGCAACTTGCACAATATCCGCATTGGGAATGTGCACAAGATGCGGCGCGCAGCGCAAACCGGTGATCATGCAGCTGACCACCTCGCGAATCGGGTTTACCGATGCCATGAGAGGGGCCCACGCGTCGGTCTCCCCCTCATACCAGCTGCTGGCGCGGACTGCCTTGAGTCCCTCTAGCCAGATGGGCTGTCCCTTCTTGACCAGAGAGCGGACGGTGCCTGGCACCCACTCACGATAGAAAATCGGCAGATGGCAACCATTGCATAGAATGGTGCCATACATGTTCAAGTGCGCGCACCGAGGGCACCAGTAGTCATGCATGGGAGCATTGTCCCATGAAAATGACACCCCTCTCCGCGGTCCCTGAACATTCATCTCACGGACCGCCCAGGGACGGATGTATATTACATCCCCTTCCTGGTGCAGATAGCATGCGCGCCAAAAGGGCGCATGTATCTCCTCCCGCACGGCGATCAAACCGCGTCGGGTTTTGTAGATGCCGGCAGCTTCCTCGATGGCCATCCACTTTAGGTCAACGGCCACAACGACATGGCGCTTGTCCATGTATTTGACGCGATCGTCAACATAAAATTCGCCCTCATTATTGGGGCTGGGCAACTTGAGGAGAGGCACCTTTGCGCCCTCCATCCCAATCATGATCTCCCCCCTGCAGACCTGCTCAGGTCGCATGGGAAAAACCGTGATAGCGAATTTGCCTGGCCTCCGGATGCACCTCGTTTTGAGGGCGGACCGATACTCGGCCATCGTCAGCAGCACGTATCCCGTATAAGGGACTTCCGCTGCTACCATCGGCCTGAGCAAAGGCCCCATTGGCGTTCGGTCACGCAGTGCCCAACGCTTGAAAACTTTGAACGGCACGTCCCTCCCGATTAGGGTGGACCGCGCAAAGAGCACCTCATTCGGGCGCTCAGACGTGCCATCTGTCCTCCAGACCTTCCGTATTAGGAGCTCGACTGGAGGGTACGATGGGCTCTCCTTTGCGAGAGCACCCGCCCAGGTCGCTACCTCGACACTCGTGCACTTGTGGATCCCGTATAGGGCCTCAAGTAGCGTTGAGATCAGAGTCATTGACATCCAACCTCCCAGAATGTCTGGAACCGTCCCAAACAAGAAGGGGGGCTGCTCACCGGGCTTCACGTTTAACCGCGTTGGGTCAGTGTTGCCCGACAAAACTTCTAGCAGCATTTGCGATTCCCTGGAGCTTCGTCCAATAAACGCCGACACATCCCTAATCTCGGGGAAAAAATGGAAGATGTCATTACCGGCAGGACAGGCGATTCTGCCTGCTATCCCGCTCTGCGCATCAATCATAATCTCCTCACCCTCGTATGTGAGGTTGTATGTGCTCGTGATCGGGCACACACCGGGCTTTGCCGTCAGTGCCTCTTCTAACGATGCACCTGCTGGGAGGACGCCCTGTACATGCGACTTGGTACCTATGGAACCAGTACTCGCTGACATAAGCCGATAATTTTCGGCGCGAAAGTATGGAAAAAG